CCCCCCCCCCCCCCCCCCGGAGCTTTCGCCGTCTCTACCCGAGTCCGAATGTAACAGCTCTGACATACACCCACCAGCACACGTGCATCACGTCCTCCGTGTAACGCTCGGCCGAGGCTGGACGTCGAGCGCTTCTACGAAAGGGGCCTGGGAAAATGACTGGATAATCGACGTACTACCTTGGCTCCCTTCGACGCATCGCTCGCCTCTATCTCGAACGCGAGCGGGGTCATAGGTCGTCGCTATAAACCCACCGATGTTATTACAGGTGCAATGCGGCACGCACGCCTTGCACTAGGCATGCCGCGCGCTACGCTCTCTCTCTCTCTCTTTCTCTCCTTCTCTCTTTCTAACTCTTGCTCACGTGGCCCGCGCAAAACCTGAAAGGGAAACGCATCGAATCGTAACTTCACCTCGTCAGGCGAGTTGAAAATTATTTTCCGCCGCGCCGCGTGACGCGCATATAACGTCGGGCGTGTGTAACGAGTTAGGCCTCTTTTTAATATTTCTTCTTCCTTCTCTTCATCTTCCCTGCCAATTCGCTCCCTGCAGACATTTATAGCGGGACTTTTGCGTCCAAGCACCGCGTGCACGACGTCCGTCCGTCGGTTAGTTCCTTCGTACGCGCGTCCTTTTTGTCCGTTTTGTAAGTGTCGAACCGTTGTAATTATCAAGACATCCGGGCCACCTTGGGCCAACGTCAACGTCGACTGCCACTTATCTCCTAGAGGACGAGCTAAGTAGACGAGAGAGATCGCTAAACCCTCATCCGTCATCGGTCGTCGGTCCGCCAATCACGGGCTTAGCGCGCGCGCTCGGTTCCGTGCGAGTGCCATCGGCGTAATCATTTACTCTCCGCCGTTGATTAATGGTAAATGCAGCGCGCATCTTGACGATCTTGAAACGCAACACCGGCCTCCACGTAGACGGCGGCTTTTTGTCCTCGTCCTCAGATCCGACGGACGCGAGCGAGCGCGAGTGCGTGCGCGACAAAGACCACGGTGAGTTTACGTCGGCCATCGCGGCTTAAGCATTCCCGATGTTCATTCAGGGAAGTGAGATCATAAGTCTTGCGGATGTAACGACTCGATATTCAGTCCTAGGACATCCACGAGCAGCGCGTGCACGCTCCTTAATGGGAGTGAAGCGCGATAAATCGCCCGCCATTGTTCCCGCCCGGCAAGGAGAGGTAAATTATTGCGACAATCAATATTCCGTTCCGTCAGGGAATCTCGCGCGGCCAACGAAGAAATGTCTTGGCTGGAACGGGAAAATTGGGGAACGTCGTCGCAGGCGAACAGCCGCGGAAGCTCCGCGCGACAAGACGCGTCCTCGTCGACGTGTCACACCCCGCTTCGCGTAACGAGAGTACAACCGCACGGAAACATATTCTCGCACATTTGCGTCTACCCTCTTACTATCTTCCTTCTTACCGTATCTAACGTTTGACTACTTATCAACTATATAAATACCAGAATTTACTTTCTTTCCCCCCGATTAATTTATTACAGCACTGAAATACCTGCGCTTCGACTTTTTATGGCCCGATATTGTTCATTCTACTTTTCTCACAGCCTGTAATTAATCAATTATTTATTTTCTTATCACGAATATCAGTCCATTGTATATGCGTGCGTCTTCTATTTTTATTTTATTCTTTTTCTCTTATTAGTTTAATTGCTAATTTAATTATTGTAAAATTACTCTTTGGTTTAACCAAATAAGAGAGCTGTTTCAAGTAATAAGCAACTATTTTTTCTCAATGTAAAGGAGAAGCCTTAAGACAACAATAAGCAGTTATCTCTCTCTCTCTCTCTCTCTCTCTTTGTCTCTTTTATTTTCTACGATGGGACGCATTCGCGAGACGCGTCACCCTGAGTCTACAATGAGCGAGATGAGGAGCGGATATAGCCGTTGCCGGCTGTACGAGCGGGCGCGCATCGCCCATTTATTCGACGAACGGACGTCATTTTTTACGATACGATCAGTTTTCGGGACGTGGTCCCCGGCAGCATACGAGATACCGTCGGAACATGGTCTTCCGGTGAGCCCCGATACAGACGTATCGAGCTTTCGCATGCGACAAAGTCACGGAGAGCGAGGAGACGGTGTGGGCATGTCTGAAGCGAAGATTTACGTAACGACTCATGCGCGCATGACCGAATGCGTGTCAGTCCGCGTGCATCCGGAGGTTCGCGTGTGGAGCCGCGGTTTTGGGCACCTGCTCTCGTGGGCCGTGACCTCTTATGCGCCCGCAAAAAGGAGGGGCGAGAACGGGCCCCGGAGAAAAAGAGTCTCGCGGGAGGGAGGGAGGGAGATCAAGAGAGACGGCCGGCATCCTTCGCTGATTGACGAGCACCGGAGTCACTGAGATGTGCCCGAGAGACGGAGCAATAAAGCACGTGCGCGCATAAACGCGAGAGAACGATCTCGGGAACGAAACACCTGCCTCGGCTCGGCCGTGGAGCTCCGCTTAAAGGGAGCGGTCCTCGGCGACGACGCCAGGAGGGAGAGGGAGACCCGCCTCGCGACCGTTGATACGTATTTGTTGTACTGACATTTTCGCAGTTTTTTTTTTCACATCCTTACGCTTCGACGCGCAGTTACATTCGCAGGATTACAATTAATAATTGTTTTCTCAGCGGAAATTAATTTCTCATCGACATAATCGCTGTAATAAACTGTGATAATTGTTTCACTAATATAAAAAGAGGTCGTCCTTCAAATATATTGAGTTCGAAAGGAAATAATTGAATTTTAAAGTAACGTAAATATGACATCTCTCTGTCAATTATGTGATGAAATTGTTCTCTTCCTTGTGGAATTTTCATGCGCTGAGATACGAGAATTTTCGGTATTTGTAACTATAACTGCATAGCTGAAAGAATTATAGTCAAGAGAATCGTCGTTAGTCGTGCGTTTTTCGGCGCGCAGGCGAACGACGACGACGATCATTCAGACGCGCGCGAGTTTCTATAAGAGCTTCACGCTTCCCCCCGCCACTTCTTCCCTGCCCACACATTTTACATTGGCCACGGGCGCGCTTCTCGAGAGCGAACGAAATGAATTACTTACTCTCCGGGACTCTCGGATCGAGTTGTCGAGAGAGCGATTTTCGTGAGATTCACGCGTCTCATTAAAAATCTGCCGCTCCTAAATGGTTTCCGCGTACTTGTTATCCTTTTTCCTCCTGCCTCTCTGAAAAAAAAGAGAAAAAGAAAAAAGCTCATAATCGATGTGTATCCAGGTTATATGGTTAATAAATAAATAAGATTCGCCGGTAATGGCTCCTATATGTATGATTGCCTGTGCGCGAACGCGAACTTAATGAATGCGAGCAGCGCGTCGTACATTATAAATAAATACGGCATCGAGAGAGAGAGAGAGAGAGACTCTCGTGGCTCTCAACGTAACGAGAGCATCGTATATATGGGGTGTATTAAGGAAGTTAATTTACTAAATGCCATATTTTCAGTGACGCATCAAAGAGACCTATCATAAATTTACTATTTATCAAGGAAAATTATGTCCCTATACATTTATTTCAATACATAAATAATAAATATTAATTTGATACGAAGTTGAGGTAAATATATATATATAATATTACGAAAAATAATGTTATTTTTTATTTTTTTTTTATTAATGCTATATTTATGCATCATACACAGTTGATTTAATAGAGGTATACAGATAATAGAAAAAGGTATAAGTGTTTAAATATACGCACATACGCACACGTACTTCGAATATTATTAAATTGTAAACTTTATTATTATTATATTTTTAAACCAAAATTATCAATATTCCAAAATTATCAATATTCCAAAATTATCAATTCTGAAATTTGGGCACGACGTTTGCATATTTGTCTTTAGCAATATCACAGATTTTTAAATTTCCATCTTGTACAAATATACCAAATTAGAAGAACTTTGTCCTATTACGTCCTCTACATATGCCTGCGTGCAACATTATATTAACTATCTCGAACACGATACGGTAAAGATGATCGAAATTTCTCTTACACATTGTTAATTCGATCAATATCGCATTATATATATATATTATACGTTTATCTTATATTCAGTCGAATGATTTCCAAACCTTTTCAAACCGTCGAACTCTTACGACGCAGCGAGAATAGTTTCCTCGTGCGCCGAGAAGGAATCATAACGTATACATGAAATTTCGCGTACGCGCGGCTGCGGGACCTGTTACGACCCATGTGGTTCATTATTTACTTCTACCCGAGTCGATATTTTACATTCGTCGGGTAATATTCGACGTCAAGGTATATCTATCGTTTCGCGAGCTGATGATCGTATAATCGTTCGCGTTTGACGAGCGCTCGGCGCGCTCGCTCGCGCGAGCATTGACAATCGTAAAAGCAGACATTAAATCGCGGTCGCGCCATGATTGGGGAAAGAAAGAG